GGTCAGCAGTTCGAAACTACCAGCTGTTCCGTGGGAGAAAGATGAGGCTTTCTGCTCCTATAAAGATTTACAGCCTTGGAAACCCTGTACAGGGTTGCTATGAGTCTGAACCGACTCCATAGTATATAACCATCACCATATAGGGTTCCTGAGGCTGTAAATCTTTTCAGAAGCAGAAAGCCTCATCTTTCTCCCACAGTATGACAGGTAGATTTGAACTACTGACCTTGTGGTTACCAGCCCAGCTCGTTTATCCAATACATATATATGTGCTGTGTTGGTGTTAAGCAAGTCACTTGAACATTAGTTTCCTCATATATAAAATGCAATAGTAATTACTTAGTGACAATTATATGAGGGTGAGTAAAAATAATCCACACTCTGATTATATAAAAATACTCATCCATGTCCATGGCTGATGATAACATTGAGCGTGCCTGTGAAATGATTCTATTGAATAGACAAGTGACAGTGGACTATGTGGCAAATCCTTTGCAAATCAGCCATGGCTCTGCCTAAGAAACAGTCCATGACAAACTTGGGTTTTGAAAACTTTGTGTGAGATGGGTACTGAAGCAATTCACAGAAGAGCATGAACAGAAGGTTTTGGACATCTGCAAACAAAATTGGACTGATACCCAAAGGAAGGTAAAAAAGTTTCTTGAAAAAAATTGTTACTAGTGATGACACATGGATTCTACTGTGAGGTCGAGAGCAGAGTACGGAATGGAAACATCCTAAGTTGCCAACCAAGAAAATGTTCCAAAGTCAGCCATCAGTTGGAAAATTGATGTGTACAGTTTTCTGGGATTCTCAGGGGCCAGTATTGGGACACTATCAGGAAAAGGGTCCATCAGTCAACAGTGTTCTTTACAGTGAGATGCTCACTAAAGAGCTGAAGCCTAAACTTCAGATTAAATGCAGAGGACTGCTATCCAAGGGCTTTGTGATCTTGCATGACAATGTATGTCCCCACTCTACCCATACTATTGACACTGCAAAAACTTCATTTTGAGGCGTTAAAGCATCCTCCCTGTAGTCCTGATATTGTTCCATTGGACTTTCAGCCGTTTGGTACCCTGAAAGTAGCCTTTAGAGGACAAAGATTGACCTCTGATGAAGAAGTGAAGACAGCAGTGCATTCGTGACTTGCAGCTCAGCCTAAAAGTTTTAAATAAGAAAATATGACAGCTTGTTGACAGATGGACAAAGTGTATTGAAAAGCAAGACGATTATGTTGAAAAATGATGTATTTGTCTTTTCTTAAAATTGATTAAGATAAAGTCTACAGCCAGAATGCAGATAATTTTTTACTCTTTTTGATATATATCCTTACTTATAAGTGGCAGTGATCTTGCAGAAGTTATATATCTGATGGTAAACAGGAGTTCTAGTTCGTCATCAGTGTACAGACTTTATCAGTTATCTAACATTTACACATTCTTAACTGCATATAGTCTGAAGCTGCATAAAATCTGGGGCATACTCGTAACGATTTAGAGATGATCAAGTTCCCTAAAAACTAGAGGACCTTAATGAGCACATTTAAAAATGAAGTTTCACATTGGTGTTCTGTTCTGTTTAAATATTTACTATTCACACATTTTTATAGCAATTTGATAAGACAGTGTGTATATGGGATACAGGTATCTCCACTCTCTGAATGTTTGCTTTACACCACCTTGTTTGTACCTAACCTAAAGAAATCCAGAGGGTTTTTGCTTTTTTAAGGAAGAAGGTGAAAAGCAAAATTAGCATGCAGTGTCTGTTTAGCAGTAAGCTGTTGAAGAGGCAGTGCTCTGAGCAGCACGAGAGGAGTTGTTAAGCTCCTTCCCTGAGAACTATTCTTACCATCAAGTCACTATAGCTTGGAGCTGTATCTGTGAACCCTGTATGTTAGTGCTGTGAACACTGTATGTTAGGTTAGTGTTCCTTCAGATTTCATGAATAATTTGGTAAATAATTTTTTGGATCTGGAAACGCTAAACATTTTTAGTAGAAATTAATGGTAGATGCTTCTTTGCTTTATGCTATCTTGGCTTACAAAAGATTTCATAGAAATGCTCTATATTCAGATAGCAGGGGATAACTGTAAACAGATCCCTTTGTTCATTCACAGTTTTTCCTACGTTTGCAAGGTAAGAGCTAATAGTAGAAAATCAGCTCTAATTTCTATTATTTTGAATATATGTCTATTCTGCAGGTATTTCTGTACTAGATTTGTATGGACGTTAAATAAGAGCTAAGTGTCTCCTTCCTTAGCTAAAGGACAAGGGCATATATATGATACTCTGGTGTTGTCTCTTTGCATAGTTTCTTTGTGCTGTAATTTGTCACTTCTCTATATATCTTCCTCCATTCTGAAGCCACTAATTTTTACAACTGTATGTTAAAGGTTGTTGTTGTGAAGTGTAGAGTCGGTTCCAATTCACAGTGATGCTGTATATGGTTTCCAAAGAGTGGCTGGTGGGCTTGAACTGATGACCTTGTGGTATCCAGTGCATATCCTGCAGCACCACACCAGGATGTTTTTGTTGTTAAATATTGTTCAGTTGGTTCTGATTCACAACAACCCTGTACAGGGTTTCCAAGGAGTGGCAGGTTAGCTTTAAGCCACTGATCTTGCAGTTCCAACCGACCTTACAGTCCAGTGTCTTAACAAACAGCGCCCACATCAGGACTCCACATACCAGGATAGCTCCTCATAATATTACCAACAAAGGTATTTAAAAATGGATTACTTTATATAAATATTTGTGATATAATTATTTTTTTTTGTTTTCTGATGTAATTAATGTTAATATTTGTTGTTTTTAAGTGCCCTTGAATCTGTTCTAATTCTTAACAACTCTGTATAGGGTTTCTGAGGCTTTAAATCTTATCTTTCTTTCTCGAAGTGGCTGGTGGGCTTGAACCGCTGACCTTAGGATTTGAAGTCCTGTACTTAAGTCTTAAAAAATGGGAGTTTGGAGTAAAGAAATGAGGACTGAGAAGAAAATAAATCATATTTCTCATATTCCTTTATATTTCATTCTTCATTCTCTCTTATCTACTCATTATATTATCTTCTGTTCATAACACTACCCAGAATATTTTACTGGACCTTTTAGTTGCTTTTGGCTTTGTTGATCATTTGCATCTA